TGTAAGAAATTAGAACTGAGTGATCATTAAATAAAACAAGAATATTGTAACAAATTAGAACTTAGTGATCTTTAAATAAAACATGAATAATGTAAGAAATTAAAACTTAGTGATCTTTAAATAAAACAAGAATATTGTAAGGAATTAGAAGTGAGTGATCTTTAAATAAAACAAGAATGTTGTAAAGAATTAGAACTGAGTGATCTTTAAATAAAACAAAAATATTGTAACAAATTAGAACTTAGTGGTCTTTAAATAAAACAAGAATACTATAACAAATTAGAATTTAGTGATCTTTAAAAAACAAGAATACTATAGCAAATTAGAACTTAGTGATCTTTAAATAAAACATGAATATTGTAAGAAATTTGAACTTAGTAATCTATAAATAAAAAATTAATGTTGTAACAAATTAGAACTAAGTGATCTTTAAATAAAACAAGAATATTGTAACAAATTAGAAATTAGTGATCTTTAAATAAAACAAGAATATTGTAAGGAATTGGAACTGAGTGATCATTAAATAAAACAAGAATATTGTAAGAAATTAGAACTTCATGATTTAAAAAAAATAAAACAAGAATATTGTAAGAAATTAGAATTCAGTGATCTTTAAATAAAACAAGAGTACTATAACAAATTAGAAATTAGTGATCTTTAAATAAAACAAGAATATAGTAATAAATTAGAACTTAGTGATCTTCAAATAAAACAAGAATACTGTAACAAATTATAACTTAGTGATCTTTAAATAAAACAAGAATATGGTAAGAAATTAAAACTTAGTGATTTTTAAATAAAACAAGAATATTGTAAGGAATTAGAACTGAGTGATCATTAAATAAAACATGAATATTGTAAGAAATTAGAATTTAGTGATCTTTAAATAAAAAATTAATGTTGTAACAAATTAGAACTAAGTGATCTTTAAATAAAACAAGAATACTGTAAGACATTAAAACTTAGTGATCTTTAAATAAAACAAGAGTATTGTAACAAATTAGAAATTAGTGATCTTTAAATATTGTAAAGAATTAGAACTGAGTGATCTTTAAATAAAACAAGAATATTGTAACAAAGTAGAACTTAGTGGTTTTTAAGTAAAACAAGAATATTGTAAGAAACTAGAATTCAGTGATCTTTAAAAAAACAAGAATACTATAACAAATTAGAACTTAGTGATCTTTAAATAAAACATGAATATTGTAAGAAATTTGAACTTAGTGATTTTTAAATGAAACAAGAATATCGTAAATTTTAGAACTTAGTGATCTTTAAATAAAACAAGAATATTGTAAGAAATTTGAACTTCATGATCATAAAATAAAACAAGAATATTATCAGAAATTAGAACTGAGTGTTCTTTAAATAAAACAAGAATATTGTAAGAAATTAGAACTTGGTGATCTTTAAATAAAACAAGAATATTGTAACAAATTAGAACTTAGTGATCTTTAAATAAAACAAGAATATTGTAAAAAATGTGAACTTAATGGTCTTTAAAGAAAACAACAATATTGTAAAAAATTAGAAATTAGTGATCTTTATATAAAACAAGAATATTGTAATAAAATAGAACTTAGTGATCTTTAAATAAAACAAGAATATTGTAACAAATTAGAAATTAGTGATCTTTAAATAAAACAAGAATAATGTAAGAAATTAAAACTCAGTGATCTTTAAATAAAACAAGAATATTGTAAGGAATTAAAACTGAGTGATCATTAAATAAAACAAGAATATTGTAAAGAATTAGAACTGAGTGATCTTTAAATAAAACAAAAATATTGTAACAAATTAGAACTTAGTGATCTTTAAATAAAACAAGAATATTGTAAATTTTAGAACTTAGTAATGTTTAAATAAAAATATATTGTAATAAATTAAAACTTGTTGTAACTTGTTATTTAGAGAGATTGAACATGTTGTAACTTGTTTTTGGCAAGTTTCTTTTCCGTCGATACTTTTTTCTCTTCACAACTGACCAGTTTCTCTTTTCATCTCCCTTCACTTCCTAATTTACCAGTTTCTTTCCTCACTTCCCTTAACAACATTCCAGTTTCTCTCCCTCCTCCCTTCTTCCCTTTATTTCAAAACTTACCAGTTTCTCTCCTCACCTCCCGTCTCCCCTTCATTTCAAAAACTTACCAGTTTCTCTTTTCTAACCCCCTTATTTCCTTCATTTCAAACTTACCAGTTTCTTTCCTCACCTCCCTTCACTCCAAAACTTACCAGTTTCTCTCCTAATCTCCCTTCTTCCCTTCACTTCCAACTTACCAGTTTCTCTCCTCACCTCCCTTCACTTCAAAACTTACCAGTTTCTCTCCTCACCTCCCTTCCCTTCAAATTTACCAATTTATCTCCTCACCTCCTTTCTTCCTTTCCCTTCACTTCAAACCTATCTCTTTCGCTCCTCACCTCCCTTCTTCCCGTCATTTCAAACTTACTTGTTTTTTTTCTCACTTCCCTCCTTCCCTTCTCTTCACAACTTACCAGTTTCTCTCCTGACCTCCCATCTAAGTGTCACATTGGCACGGCTGGTAACATATCCTTCCACTATAAGCCTTTCGTTAGGATTGATCAATCCAGCTTTTCGTTTCTTGAGATAGACGACAGGTAGCTCCCCCTTGCGGACAGTTACTATAGTTCGACTTTCAATCTTACGTGAATCCTTGGATACTTTGTATGTAATAAAATATCTATGTTGAAATGAAAAACAAAACCATAGTTAACGTAAATAGTGTAACACAATTCGAACTTGACAATCCATAACAATCAAAATGACTCGATCTTTTTGATGTATTTATTCCAGTTTTATTAAATTTTAACTCCCCATGGCAGTTTTGTGATTTTCATATATACTTGTGTCATAGTAAATTATTATGTGGTGTTACAGAGCTTCAAAAAATAAGTACATAAGTAATTCGAGTTGACATTCACTAAAAATGTAAGTCTAGGTGTTAAGGTCCTCAGTGTCACCTTAACCTACAATCCTCAAAGTTAGTGAATAAGGTCTTTGTTTGAAAACAAAAAGAACATTTACGCCGAAAAACGTGAATCGAATCATGAGATTTCGCCAACTGTATTTATTGACGACCTTATTTTGACACAACGTGACCTCCAAAGAAGCTTGCTAAACGTAAACGAAACTTCTAGAATGACCACTTCACTTTACTGACGCTTCTGCAATGTCTTCCTTTGGCGTCAGTGATGAAAAGTTAAAATTCATTTTTCAAAAGATTTCCAGAGAAAACAAATAAACTACTTTATGTATACTAAAGTTTTTGAGTAAATATCTTTATTGTTTACTATTAGTTAAGTGATTAGAACTCTGCAATCTTCAGTAAACCATCTAAATACGAATTTCATGATGTAAATTGCAAAGGCTGGTAAAACATGATTTTTTTGATTGGTTGTTAGCGATATGACATAAAAAAACTGGTAATACTTTTTACCACCTTTTTCTTTAAAGATTTTACACGAGTTGCCAGTGAGAAGGGTTTATAGTACCATTGTACACTATTTTTAATGGAGGAAACCTTTATAATGACAGTAAAGAAATAAATGCGTAGTCAATATTATTATTCCCTTTTATTGTGATATAACACCACGTATAACAAACAAAAGCGTTTCAACATTTACGTGTTAGGGAGAAGTACTCCTGCTGGTACTCTGAGGATCTGATCATTAACCAGCATGCTGTTGCCAAAACAGGATGTTGCAGTTGTCATCTGGTCAGTGCAAGACCATAAAAACTGGAGTTCACCAGCAGCGTTGCTCGGATCAGAAGCTAGAGCGCCATCTAGTTTGAAGGGTGTTTCGTCCCCAACAACAAGGTTTGATGAACTAATAACGGCTTGTAGATTCATTCTCTTAACCCTAATGGTTTGGGTTACGTCACTCCACTGACTTCGATCACTGGTTACAGACACTGAAATAATTAAAATGTAAATAATTCACTTATCAATCTACTCATCTGTCTAAATGTAGTACGTATAAAAATAATTCAATTCTCCATAAAACTCACCATTCACTGAAATGATATAATCACTCCCATAGTTAAAATATCCTTTAGGGATAATGGACGTTCTACCAGTAAATCCACTCAAGTCGACAACTGGAGGAGTAATTGACCACGTGAACTGGAAAAATAATCACATAATTAACCCTTAAACAACTAAATATACAAACAAAATAAGTGATCGAAAATGACTTTGGTTCTACACGGCGCCTTCTCTGTTTCCAATAAACACTTAACATAATAGAGTATCTGACATTGCAAGTAAACGTGCAAGTGTTTTGGTATTAAAGAAAATTTATAATCTTACATTAGTTTTCTATTTAAGATACTTATAAAACTATCACATAGTGTTCATACAAAGATCCCATATATTAAGCCAAACGAAAAGCTTCACTAGTAAGATTGTCGTAAACATAAGATTAATTTTACCGGTACGACATTGCACGTGGTTGTAAAAGTCACAGAAAGTTAACGTGATATTGCAATAGAGTAACCAGGGGTTGTGAATAAACAGGAAATGACGTTCCATTAGAAACAGGCTTGTTTGTAGAGGTGATTTTGAAATGTTTTTTTAATACCAAGTTACTCATGATGCAGAATAAAACACATTTCATTATTTCATCCAATATTCACGACTGTAATATTGAAATTTCCAACTTTTTGAAAGAAAGTTTTCACTTACATGAAGGCTTGATGATGTCATTTCATACTCTCCACACAAGTAAACAATAACTGTAAAGGTGGCGTCATGTTGAGCGTCAACGACAGTAGGAGCTATAAGTGTGAGAGCCAATGGTTTGTTTACACGTGTTACCCTGTGAGTAGATGGCAGAAAGGATTCTAAACTAAAGCGATTTGTCGCTGAAACCATCAAAACGTAGTCGATGTTCTCTTTTAGCTGGAGTGAGAAACACGGAAAATATGATTATATCTGTAGCTAAAACTGAAGAAAAACACGATAAAGAGTTTAACCTCCATCGAGGCCGAAATAAGAGGTACTGGTCATTGGTCAAATTCACCTCTTAGAAGTATTAAGATTTTACGTACTTTTATACAGTTCTACATTAGTAAACTTCCATTATAATTAAATCAATAATGTGTTGTTGTTTTTGTTAAAGTCATAACTTGCGTATTTTATTATGTTTACATAATTAACGCATTTTATTGTAACTACATAACTTTATTTTAACTTTTAAACCAAATGATCGATACAATTGTGCTTTAATACACTACAGTACCATTAATTAAGTGTAACGGATAAAACAACCAGGTCAGAAATGTCTATAATCCAGGCCTAACCGGCCCTAATTTTCGACTACAGACTGGAGGGAAAATAACGTGTTAGTAGTACGTGCCGCTTGTAGTGGCTACGTCTACTCTAACTGAATAATACACACATATAGCTAGAGAATTCGAACGGTGTTGGTTAGAGCTACGCCTCGCACTAGGGGTCCCCAGTCCTGTACACTAACCCTCAGATCATTGATAATACTTACCACAAGTCTGCCTTGACAAACTTTTCTACTTTTTAAGTTTAAATGAAAGTCTTTCTCTAGCTCTAGAGAATGGACTGTATCTTAAAGACGGTTTCATTTTGAATTGTAAGCCTATAACATTTTTTTTATGGATTTATTAATGGTACAAAAAATTAACTTCTATTATTAACATTGCCAGTTTCATGTACGTACGCCAGAGTCTTGTTTACTACTGAGACATGGCGTCTTGCCCAAATGTTTCGTATGCAGTATCCTTAATCAGCTAAGATTATCTTTTTCATACGTTCATCATGCTTTATTTCAGCTTTGAGAACCTTCATTGAATTACATTACTACTACTGGGCATAGTATGATCGTTTGTACTTTCATAGACTATATATATATATATATATTAGTTGGCACTTACTGACTGGTTGAATGATAACCAGTCATAGTGTAAACTATAAACATGTGACTGTATTCTGGTGCAGTTATTTTTCGCCAGATAAAAAGGTGAAATTCTCGTAATATTTACCTTTTATATTTTTTCACGCTCGCAAACACACACGTGTGTGTGACAAAAAGCGAATATACTGTTACGACAGCGGAAGTCACTTGACGCTGTTGGAGCGCTTGGCGCTGGTAGCGTGCGTGATGTTTCACAAATATCGGGGAAGTCCGAGATGCCCTCTTCGTTAGTATATAAGCCTGGCAGAAAAGCCAGCAGGGTAACGAATTGGTCGTTACCAGTGAAAGTGGAGTTTCTCGGGGTACTCCCGTTTTCCCCCCACATTAAATTCTCGGCATAGGATTTTTAGATCCCCGCCGCCCTGATGGACCACCTGTCCGACATCGGCCGTTTAGTTTAGTTTAGTCTACTTTGCTCTTCACTTTTTATTTATTTTAATTTTTTATCGTTACTCTCACGTTTACCTTTTTATATTTACATACCTTGTCTGCATTAATCTCCTATTTTCTCAAGTTAAGCCCATATTCCTAGACCACGCGCGGGGTGAAGGAGGATTGTTTAATCTTCGAGCACCTTGATTAATAATTATCTCTTAGGAGATAATTATTTTTAAATCAAAATAACTGCCAAGAACAACAACAACAGCAGGGTTAATGAAGAGAGAGCAGTAGTAACTTTGAGTTCCGTGTAATTTATAATTCTAGTGAGCCGTAAATTGTGTGTTTTGCACTCGTCGAGAGAGAACTTATCGAGATTGTGAATCGCTGTGATTTATA